CCTTATTATAAAAAAGATTCTTATAAATACTATGGATTTTATCGTATATAACCATCATCAATTTAACTTTATCAGGAATTTAAAGCTTTTCTTATCCTACCATACTATTGTGTTATCTGATCCAGAAGGTACCCAAGCTTTTATTTAGCAAATCTTTGACTTTATTGTTGATTGGAATAGACTCAAGATGTTTAATGTGATTAATCATTAATGTTTGATTTTAATGCATGTGCATCTACACATTTGAATATTGTTTGAGATATTTTATTATTTGGATTTCATTCAGAGTATCTATTTCTCTATAACATTTACGTTTTTAGCTGGTAATTCTCAAATGTATAACTATCGATTGAAAAGATTTCTGAAAACAAAGTCAAAAGTTAATGAACATAGAAAATCAAGCTATAAAAGTTGGTATGATCGGATAATTGAAAAGATTATTTGGTAACCATTTACTGATATGTTAATGAATGATTTACTAGGGACGAACATGGGTAGGTTTAAGTCGTTTTTTCGCTAAAACCAAACCATACCATAGAAAACCATTTCTTCCGGTATTAAAACTCATATGGGTTCGGTTTTTGCATGGGTTATGTTTTTGGTTTTCAGATAGGGTTTATGGGTTTTCGGTTTGAAACCTTGGGTTTTGTGGGTTCACGGTTTTCTGGTTTTCTGATTTTTTGTTTTTTTTTTGGGTTCAAACTCCCTGAAGTACGTTACTATAAATGGTACTGTACCCAATTTAAATATACTAAATGGTACTGTATCCAGTTTAAATATATACTAAAATAACTACGCAAAGGTAAGTACACTAACTTCAATTTTGTCTCGGAACAAAACAAAAAGCAAAGATAGTACTAACATAGTTAATATTTCTTAAACATAAGATGTATATAATGCATATAGATAATATTTAGAATTAAATAATATTAAATAATATTTATGATGGGTCGGTTTTTGGTCGTTTTTAAATTCATGGTTCTTTTCAGTTTTACTAGGTGAATTTATAATACAAAATCGAACTGAACCGCTAATATCTATTTCTATATATTCTCAAACCTACTCGATCGTTTTGTTTTGTTTTTTTTTTTTTGTTTTTTTTTTTGTTTTTTTTTTTGTTTTTTTTTTTTTTCGGGTTATCAGTTTCCGGTTTGGTTTATGCTCATCCCTACCATTTTACTTAAGATATGTTAATGGCATTCAACTCAAAGATTATTGAAAATATTTAGATTCGATATCATCATAATTCTCATTTTTAAAATGTGTCTATATCATTTTTTTCCCTAATTCAATCTTTGTAACGTATGATTATACGATTAAAACAATTTGGTATATAACATTGTAAGTATTTTGAACCATATGATAATATGTATATCTATTAAAACCATATAATATCAATCGGCTCATGAATTGTATGTGGAGAAACTAAATATAAATTTTGATTTTTGGTTTTTAACTATTGGTAGTTTAGATATACATATATTGTCCAAAATCACAGTGTGCGTAAATACACTTAAATACAATACTTGGTTTAGTTTTATTTTTAAATATTGTTATGATTATTAATTTAAACATAAGTTATTTGTCATGCTAGTTATTATTTCAAATATCAAACATGTTATTGTTTTTAAGGAGCAATATCATTTTTAATTTAATGTTATTTTTAACTATGGTTATTGATAGTTATTTTTAATATATTTTTTTGAAAAGTTTTTATAATTATAAAAAAATAGATTTTGGACAATTATAAAAAATATCAAACATGTTTTGGTTTATATATATATATATATATATATATATATATATATATATATATATATACACACATACACACACACACACACAGAGAGAAACATGGTCGGGTGATGACTCTTTTTAAAGTGAGGACTCGTAAGAACACCTTAAAAAAATTGAAAAAAAATCTAAAAAAAATACAAATCATAAAATCGAACATAATATTACATCGGTGAGAAAAAAATTGGAAAAAAATGGATCATTAAAATTGAAGCATAGATCATTTTTATGATCCATGATTCAACTTTTATGATCCATGATTCAATTTTAATGATGCAATTTTTTTTTTCAATTTTTTTTCTCACGGATATAATATTATGCTCGATTTTATGATTTGTATTTTTTTTAAGATTTTTTTTCAATTTTTTTAAGGTGTCCATACGAATCCTTACTTTAAAAAGAGTTTTCACCGGAACCGGACCCTATATATATATATATATATATATATATATATATATATATATGATCGGCTAATAATAATATTACTCACTAGGTTTTTCAAGTTCAATACATTATTTTGATATGTTTTAAGGTTAATAGCTATCCGGGAATGCTTATTTTGGAGATTTTAAAGATATGAAGTCAATATTTGTTTTAAAGATTGTTGACACGTTTGATATAGTATAACTATGTAAGTAAACTTAATGTCTTTTGTTGATTGTTATATCCACGTATACACTTTTAACAACCTACTTTGCTTGTTAAAAGATTTTTTATGTGTAGGACTTCTGCAATTTTTTATTTGATTTTTAAAACCTTTGAAAAGATGTTTCAAATTACTATTTCAAAGTAGCAAATGCAAGAGGTGTTTTAGTAACGATCGATGGTGTGAGGAGAAGAGAATACCCGAAAATAATGTAAGAAGATAATGTGAGTTTAGATGATTGTGGTTTGGATTTAAGAGGATGGAGACAATCACTATGGATGAATTACCAATGACATGACTTCATATTAAAAGTTGTATGAATTGTTTAGTTATAGCTTTTCTCTTTCAGTACTTGTGTTTCCATGCAATGTTTAAATTGTTACTTTGTCAATTTACTTTCATTTTTAATATTACTATATGTTTTTAGATATATTGCCAATATTTTTCCTTTTCAACATCGTGTGTTTAAGTTCCATATGTGGGAAGTGGGAGGCATTTTTAAAACAATTTCTCTAGACTCTACATCTGGATGGAAATATGAGTTAACACATCATTCCTTCCTCTATTTGGGTTTCTCATTGTTACTGTTTTATACTATAATTTTGTCATATTATTAACATTTGTTTCTTTAATTTTTCATGTGACTGGATATTAAAATAATAACAATAAATTAATTAATATTTTAAACTTTAACCCTATTCCCAAAACACACCCACTACCCCCTTTCCTCGGGTTACCCAAATAAATTTTACCGCGCCAAACAATAATTACACTGTTAAAAAAGGACATATTTGAAATACCAAATTTATCCTTGTTTTGGAAGTTTCTTGTTACAATTTATCTCTATATCTACAGCCTATCCAGTCTCTTAACTATAATTCATTTTTTGTTAAATATATTACAATAATTTTGAAGTACTAATATACAAAACTACACGAGTTTTCAATACCATTCCGGTCAATATGTTGTCTCATATATCCAGCTTTTAATGAATTCCCTAAACATCTTATATTCACCTACCTTTCACATCATACTGTTACAATGGCATTCCTTTTCTCATGGACTTCAATTTTATTAACAATCATAAGTTCATATCCTTATCATAAATTTATGATCTTGATGTTTAGCTATTTTTATACAAATGTAGGATTAATTTGGAGAAACATTCTCTTGACATACAATTTCATAAACCAAATAGAGCATGTTGTCTTTAAACAATCATGCTATGAATAACGGATAAAGGTTAAAACATTTAGGGTGTTTGAAAAAATAACTAACTAAATTTAGAAGTTGATAGTTGGAAGTTGAAATTTGAAAAATGGTAGCTAGACATCGGAAGTTTTACATTTTATTTGAGCATAAATTTTTGATCAAAATAACCGGTAGCTTTTAAATATTTAAAATTAAATAAAAACTAAATAGTTAAAAGTTTCTGAAGACTAATTAATGTTATTTTTAATGATAAACTTTTTTATTTTTATTTTTTATTTTTTTTGGAACGGGCGAGCAATTATATTTGAAACAGAACTTTAAAATTTTTAATAACAAGTGTTATTATTTTTTTTAAATTAAAAATTAACAAATGAAAAGAAAGCATTGAAATCATGAAATGAAAAAATAAACAGGTATGAATTTATTTGCATGCTTAATTCAAGCTTTCTTTAGCCTTTCACAATATCCTAGATATTATTGTCCATTTCCCTCGCATGGACTCTGAAAACATTGAATCCTATCTTGAGATTCTTGCCAAATTTGGGTCCGACCCGATATCTCAAATTACATAAATACCCCCTTTCGTTACATACGTTAAATAAATAATGTAATTTATTTACAGTTTTAAACCATATGTAGTAAATGGTTCCTAATGAGTCCATTACAAGGGTAATTTGGTATTTTTGGTGAGTGTTTTGGTGCCCTAATCATTTTAAATAAAATAATCAAATTGTTGGTATTTAAAACCAAACATTTTGAGCATCTCCATGCTCCTAGCTCCAAACTCCAACCCATTCTCTCTCTCCATACACCTTCAAACTCCCATGTCCTCTGCCACCACCATAACCACCACCACCGCAGCCGCCCTCACCACCCACCGCCGCCCTCTTCCTTTCTTCTGTTAGCTCATCAAGAACATATGGAACACTTAAGTTGAACTAAAAAGACCCCACAAATGCCATCATATCTTGTTCGGCTTCTATCTCCACCACCAGTAGAAGACCGAAGCGCCGCCATGTAAGGCGGAGGACACAGTTTCCTGGTGAGATTATGTGTGTAAGTTTTCATTAGAAGCAAAGATAGAGTTCTTTTTCTTGCTTCACATGCATGGGTTTGTTTTTTAATTTCCAGTTTTACAGAAACACACGAGTGAGTTTTAAGCATCATACCCCACTACCTCAAAACCCTCGTTCACATGCATATTGTCCCTCACGAATGAAACTTTTTTAAACACCACCGCCAAACACCACCCACCACCACCACCACCACCCGCCACCGTCATTTCCATTGATACCCATTTTCCTGCACCAACTCGCCACCACGGTTTACTAAGTTTATACCTGACAAAATGGATAAAGTTTCAAGCTTTTTCATTTTCTTGATTCTCTCTCTCTACGTTTCTCTCCCGCCACCAGTCTCCTCCCTCTCTCCCGACGGTCAAACGCTACTCTCTCTCCTCTCCTCCGCCGATTCTCTCTCTAAAACCTCCTCCGCCGTTCTTTCCTCATGGAACTCATCTTCAATAACACCGTGTTCATGGCAAGGCGTCACATGTTCACCGCAAAACAGAGTCATTTCTCTCTCTATCCCAAACACATTCCTCAATCTCTCCTTTCTTCCACCACAACTCTCTTCTCTCTCCTCTCTGCAACTTCTCAACCTCTCATCCACCAATATCTCCGGCGAAATTCCTCCGTCGTTCGGCTCTTTCCCACACCTCCGCCTCCTAGATCTCTCTTCAAACTCCATCTTCGGAATCATTCCGCCGGAGCTCGGCCAACTGACTTCCCTTCAGTTCCTTTATCTCGACTCCAATCAACTCTCCGGCAAAATCCCACCTCAAATTTCAAATCTTTCATCCCTCCAATACTTTTGTATCCAAGATAATATCATAAACAGCACCATTCCACCTCAACTCGGATCATTGGTTTCCCTCCAAGAGTTTCGAATCGGGGGTAACCCGTATTTGACCGGAGAGATTCCGTCGGAATTAGGTTTTTTATCCAATCTCACCACTTTTGGAGTCGCAGCCACCGGACTTTCCGGGGTGATTCCCGCGACATTCAAGAACATGATCAGTCTCCAAACATTAGCCATTTACGATACAGAGATCACCGGTTCAATCCCACCGGAACTTGGGTTGTGCTCAGAGCTTAGAAACTTGTACCTTCACATGAATAAACTTAATGGTCCGATCCCACGTGAATTGGGAAAGCTTCAGAAGCTCACTAGCTTACTTCTATGGGGGAATTCCCTCACCGGAACAATCCCGCCGGAGCTTTCAAACTGTTCATCACTAGTTGTATTCGATGTCTCTGCTAATGAACTGAGTGGTCAAATCCCGAGTGAATTAGGAAGGTTAACCGTTCTTGAAGAGCTTCATCTGTCGGAGAATTCATTAACCGGCCCAATTCCACCGGAGCTCAGCAACTGCACTAGCCTTACAGCGATTCAGCTTGACAAAAACCAAATCTCCGGCGAAATTCCATGGCAAATTGGAAACTTAAAGATGTTACAGAGCTTCTTCTTGTGGGGAAACATGGTTTCCGGCATGATTCCATCATCTTTCGGCAACTGCACTGAGCTTTACTCACTTGATCTTTCCAAAAACAAGCTCACAGGTGAAATCCCAGATGAAATATTCGGGTTAAAGAAACTGAGCAAATTGTTACTACTTGGGAATTCACTGTCGGGTAAAGTTCCTAAAAGCGTCGGGAAATGTCAATCATTAGTTAGATTAAGGCTTGGAGAGAATCAACTTTCGGGTCCAATTCCTAAAGAAATAGGACAATTACCAAACCTTGTGTTTCTTGATTTATACACGAATCATTTCTCAGGTGTTTTACCAAATGAAATCGGTAACATTACAGTTCTTGAGCTCTTGGATATTCATAACAATCACATTTCCGGTGAAATCCCGCCTGAATTAGGCGAGTTGGTGAACCTCGAGCAGCTCGATTTGAGTCAAAATGGATTCACCGGTGAAATTCCGGCGAGTTTCGGTAACTTCAGTTACTTAAATAAACTCATCCTCAACAACAATCTACTCACTGGTACAATCCCGGCATCCATTAAAAACCTGCAAAAGTTAACACTTCTTGATCTGAGTTCCAACAGTCTTTCCGGTCAAATCCCGCCTGAAATCGGGTCAATCACAAGCTTAACCATTAGTCTTGACTTGAGCTGGAACCGATTCAAAGGTGAAATACCCGAGTCAATCAACGGGTTGACTCAGTTACAATCACTCGATCTTTCACACAACTCCTTTCATGGCAAAATTATGATCTTGAGTTCACTTACTTCCCTCACTTCCCTCAACATTTCCTACAACAACTTCTCCGGTCCAATTCCAGTGACACCATTTTTCCGAACCCTAACACCGGAATCATTCATTCAGAACACGGGTCTTTGCGAATCAATCGACGGGTATTCCTGTTCTTCACGTTCACCCACAAGAAACCGATTAAAATCAGCAAAAACTGCATGTTTAGTGATCGTAATTCTCGTTTCCATTACCATCGTCGCCGCCGCTACCTGGATCTTCATGTCAAGAAACCGGTACATGATCAAGAATTCTTTACCCGACCAAAATCCGGACTCGAGGGGCGACGATTTTTCATACCCGTGGACGTTTATACCCTTCACAAAGCTCGGATTTTCAATCGATAACATCTTGGATTGCTTAAAAGACGAGAATGTAATCGGAAAAGGGTGCTCAGGCGTCGTATACAAAGCGGAAATGCCAAACGGAGAGATTATTGCAGTCAAGAAGCTATGGAAAACCAGAAAAGATGAAGAACCTGCAATCGATTCTTTTTCAGCAGAGATTCAGATTCTAGGTCACATTCGGCATAGAAATATCGTCAAACTTTTAGGGTATTGTTCCAATAGAAGTGTAAAGCTTTTGCTTTACAATCATATTGCAAATGGGAATTTACAGCAGTTGTTAACTAATCGGAATTTGGATTGGGAAACGAGGTATAAGATTGCTGTTGGATCTGCACAAGGGCTTGCTTATCTTCATCATGATTGTGTTCCTGCGATTCTTCATAGAGATGTAAAGTGTAAACAACATTCTTCTTGATTGCAAATACGAAGCTTATTTGGCTGATTTTGGGCTTGCGAAGCTCATGAGTTCTACAAATTATCAGCATGCCATGTCAAGGGTAGCTGGATCCTACGGATACATCGCTCCAGGCAAGTTTATACACCATTGAATGTCATAAATAGTCACAACTATTAATCTTAATTAAGTTAACAGGGAAATCGTAGAAAAGTGTTAATATTTTTGGAAAAGTTATATTTTAGTTTTAATATTTTTTTTAACATAAAAGTTTCGATTATTTCATTTTGGCCCAAATTAACAAATTTTTTTTTTTTTAACAGGATTTGACATATTGTAGAGTAAAATCAAATAATCAAGATTTTCTCTTAAAAAAATTATGACTAAAGTGTAACTTTTTCAAAAATATTAAGACTTTTCTGATAATTTCCCTAATTCTTATAGATGTTTCTTTAAATGTGATTATTTTGACATATGGAACTTGTTTAATCTTTTGCAGAATATGGCTACACGATGAACATAACGGAGAAGAGTGATGTTTATAGTTATGGGGTCGTGTTGTTAGAGATCTTGAGTGGGCGTAGTGCTGTTGAAAATCGGGTAAGAGAGGGTTCACATATAGTTGAGTGGGTGAAAAAGAAAATGGGAAGCTTTGAGCCTGCAATAACAATACTTGACACAAAGCTTCAAGGTCTACCCGATCAAATGGTGCAAGAAATGCTACAAACACTTGGGATTGCAATGTTTTGTGTGAACTCTTCGCCTTCCGAGAGACCAAACAATGAAAGAAGTGGTTGCATTGTTAATGGAAGTTAAGAGTTCACCTGAAGAATGGGGGAAAACTTCACAACCTTTAATGAAACAATCATCTACTCATAGTTAAAGTCTTTCCATAATAATTGTAGGTTAGGTTTTGTTTGGGATTTGAGGGTGTTATTAGTGATTTATAAGTTGCTTTTAGTTCCCAAATGGGTGAGAATAGAGTTATATGATTTGGGTATGGGAGAAAAGAATTGGATAAATGATGTCATTGTTGTAGTTTGTTTATTGTAGGCCTTCTGCTATAGCAATGTTCAACTTCAAGTTATTAATATAACATGATTGTTGCAAGATTAATTCTTTTTAAATTATATAGCACGACCTATTTTGGATCTATTATTGTTGTGATTTCATGTCTTTATAATTCTGGTAATCTTACTACCAATTATAATTATCTTTTTTTTTTTTTTTTTGTGAAAAGTCAAATCTAGCCAACAAAATCGTTGGTGGACCTTCATAGACTGAAATTTTATGGCTTGGACTGTGATTTTTTAAAAGTATAAAAAAATGATTTTGTCATTTGGTATGATGAAATCGCAAATGGCTTCTACGATTTACTCATTGCCAAAATGATAAAATTCGATTTTTTAATACTTTTCACTAAATCACAGCCTAGACGAAATCAAAATATATGAAGGCCCACCTGTGGTTTTAATGGCTTTATGTGTCATTTTTAAAATTTTTTGGCTACTTATTGAAAGAAACTCTGAAAATTATGTTAAATTTGCCATTTTCCTTTATAAAGGCTCCATATGTTTATACAAAATGGTTATTTGTTTAGCAACCTTTGAATCATTTTTGTCTTCCAGAGCATGATGTAAAATGGTTTGTTTGGTGTGTTATCTATCTAAATAACTAGAATTTACTATACACTTAACATCATTGAAAGCAATTATTAGAAACTTTTAAGCAATATAAATATGTTTTAACACTATCTTTTTCTTTGCTATAACTGAATATCTGATTTTATTAATAAATAGTTACTTTTAAAAAACATATCCAAAAACGGATGGAAGCCATGTTTCCTTCTTACACTCCCTACATGCTTATGGATGACAAAAGTGAGCCCCACAAGTCTCTAAGTTATTTGTCTTACAATTGGTCCATAACTTATTGTTTTTTTGCTATGGAAAGAAGCATGTATTTGGTCAAAAAGGAAAAGTGGACTTAAAGATGTTAGCAAACAATGCCCATGGACCATGTCTCCTCTCCCCTATACATGCTAAAGGAAGACAAAAAAAGCTACATGGACCAACACTTCTTACATAAGATCTTCAGTTGTGCATATACTATTTAGTAATAGTGATAACAAGAAAAGATGGATAGTACAATTAGAATTTAACAATATGACTATAAGTATATATCCATAATTCCTTAGCATCAACATAAATATATAGTAATTTTTTTTTTCTCAACGACATATATTGTGAACTAATTAACGATGAATGAAAAAAAAAATGGTAAATTACACAAAAGTCATTGTTTTCAATTTGGACATTTTTTTTGACAATTAAACACTATGTTTTTTTATTTGTTGCGAAGGACTTCTAACCCAATGATATCAGATGTTGACCTCCATTCTTAAGGTCGATGATTCAAATCCTATCTTGAACATTGATGGAATGAATAGATTAGATTTGTCATTCATTTTTTTACCTGGTTACCTCTGCTGACGTGACAGATTATCATGACACTATTTCTTTATGTGAAACCGATGTCGTTATGACGTGTAAAACTCGAAAAAAAAGTAGCACAAAAAGGGACTAAGTTTTACATTTTTTTTCTCAATTATGACACTAAATTTCCAATTTATTTTCAATTTCAATACTACCTTACTTTTTGTTTAAAATCGACACCCTTTTTTTTTCAATTTCATTTAATATCGTAGAAGTTGTAGATTTTCTCTACAAAAATTTTCCGTATCCATGACTCGTGCACTTGTGTCGGGTCACCAACAAAGTTGAATGAAGAATGTTACATATGTCTTTCACTAACAAATTAAGCGACATAATTATCCTTAAATCTATGTTTGCATTATCCACACATAAGATCCTCCCTAATAAATTAAAATCTTTTTGCCACATGTCCTCTTCTCCTTCATTTGGACACATGACATTTTTTAGAATTTTAGAATTTTCTATTTGACACTTGTCATTTTATTGTATTTTTCATTTTATTAAATTGAAATTCCACATTTAATATGTAAGGTAATATATATGTAAAACATTTATTATAAACGGTTTATATATGTATTCAATCTATTTAAGTCTCATTAATTTTAATAATTTAAAATTTTTCTTATTTTTCTTATAAATTCAAACTTCTCAAATTGTTAAAATTTCATATATATTTTTTTTAAATAAACTCATGTAATACATGGGTCTCATACCTAGTTTTGATATTAAAGTGAAAAACATATGTATGACTATTTTGTCCGTTAAAATAAAGATTAGATTTAAAGTAACACAATAATTTTTAATTATATAGCTAGGTATTTAATACTTGGTAAATAAATTGTTTCATAAAGCCGGGTAACATAACAATGACTCTTAGGGGTCGTTTGATAGTTGCTGATTGGGTTAGAGCTGACTGGGTTAGAAACTGACTGTGTTAGAAATTCTGACTGAGTCCACATCTGACTGAGTTTATGTTGTTTGATTATTTTCCTGACTGATTGTGCTGAATGATAAAAATGACCATATTACCTTTGCGTTGTCCCTTGTGCTGGATAAAATAATTATAAAAATACAAACTATCACATAAAAACAAAATTAAACATACATCATTTAAAATCCAAATACAAAGTGTAATACAAAATCCAAATATAAACTGTCATACATAATAAAAAAGTACATCATTTAATGTGAACCAGTTGAAAGTAACTGATTAGCAATCTGGTCACGCAAAGTAGTCATATAGTCAACTGTTTCTGAACCCCATTCTATGCCTTGTATGTTTTGGCCCTCACTTCCTCCACCTTCCACATCAGGAGTAACCATAGTGTTTTGTTCAAAGTTCGTAAATAAGTCATCTTCAATATCGTATTTCCTTATAAAATTATGGACCGCAACACAAACAATGACTATGTCTCTTTGCACTGGAAAAGGATAAGGAGTCATTTGTTTTAAAATTGGAAATCTCGCCTTCAATACACCATATGCACGTTCAATGATATTTCTAAGTTGTGCATGAGCATGATTGAACATTTCTTCCTTAGTTAAAGCTTTGTTTCTTCGAAATCGGCTAACCAATACCTAGTATTGCGGCAGGGAGCCATAAATCCACTGGTGTTGGTGTATGCAGCATCACAAAGGTAATATTTATCTGTAGATGATTGACAAATTTATCATATAAATAACATAGATAATAAAACTTAAGAAAAATTACAAACCTGGTGGAGGGAATGGAAATCCAGAAGTCGGATTAAATGTAACTTCTTTCAAAACTTTAGAATCATGTGATATGCCCTCCCATCCAGCCCATACAAAGGTGAATATCATATCAAAATCACAAATTCCGATTACATTTTGATAACATTAACCTTTTCCTCTTCCCTTATAGTGAGTTTGTTGATCAACGGGCACAACTGCATGTATAAGTGTACTATCCAATGCACCTATTGCTCCGGGAAATATGTGTATTAGCCGTCTATGTCGTTTTGAGGTATTTCTTGTTGGATTAGACGAGGTTGGTACTATAATTTCGCTTGTAAAACACATCATTGCACGTAGGACCTCATGAAAACATTGATGAATCGTTTGTGTGGAGTGATGAAATCTTTCTTTAACCGCTCGAAAACGTTTATTATGTCCTATACATGTAAAAACATAGCCACCTTCTCTTCAACACTTATCGTCCTATTACATTGCAACCAATTTCTTTCTGTAAAATGATTGCATAATAGTACAAATGCATCTTGTAAAACACGCATCATATCGTAACATTGTATAAGACATCCGTGTATCAAATCTTGCGTATACACATGCCCCTTTGCTACTGGTTCGCTAGCGCTTATTCTTTTAATTATTCTTTGCCTTTGCCGGACCAACATCAACCAATACCACGAGAATATAAGGAAATATAAAAAGTCATCTTGTTTATCCATGTCACTTGTTAAATGTCAAATACAAATTACATTTACATCAATAACATAACAATCCATAACATGTAAATACTAAACACATAACATTCCATAACATATAAATTCAAATAACATAACTGCACTTAAGAAAATAATCCATAACACATAACAACTCTAAACATAAAAATCCATCAAATGACCCATAACATACTAAAATCAAACAATGAATTATAACATACTAAAGTCAAACAACTAATCCAAACTTTCTTCCCGCATTTATTACCCACGACTCACAAGTCGACAAGTTAAGGCGCAACCAAATTTTCCTATTACCCGCACTTTCAGCAAATAACATAAGAGTTGTGGTGTATTTCAGATCAAATTCTCCCCACTCCAAGCTTGCCAACTTTGCCATACAATCATCCATCTCCTTGTCAAGATTATTTGCTTGCGTGAATGCCTGTGCAGCATTGACAGTTTCTCTGCCAACTTCTTTCACCTCATCATCAAGTGTGGTTTCCTTGGGACCATTTCGTTTCCCCCCCTTGTTTTTAGTCCGCCCAGATGATTCTTCACTTACAGGTGAAGCACTCGTAGGTTGGGGTACTGTTGAGCTTGGGGTATCTGCATGAGGTGCTGGCTCTTCCATCACTGTATCCTCAAAATCATGTGTAGTAAAGACTTCATTGGGATGAGGTAGTGTCGAAGATGGACCCCAACTGTGAAAACTGGTCGATGTCGCCCCATCAAACAGTTAGATACAAAGATCAGGGCAAGGGAGGGGTGCATTTCTCAGCTTATCTACATACTTGTTCAACTGTTTGAAAATTTAATAAATATTATCAAAGTAGTAAAACAAAATTTAATATATATATATATATATATATATATATATATATATATAATATACCTTCGC